GATGATCCCCGGAACTCATCCGGTGTACGAATATAGTCATCCAATATATCAATCTTTATGTCTCGACCATTTCGAGATTCCTCGTCATGTCCGTGATCACATCCAGGACTCCGAACTATCTTCGGTACATCAAAACACATAAACTCATAATACCGGTCGTCACCGAACTTTAAGCGTGCGGACCCTATGGGTTCGAGAACTATGTAGACATGACCGAGACACGTCTCCGGTCAATAACCAATAGCGGAACCTGGATGTTCATATTGGCTCCCACATATTCTACGAAGATCTTTATCGGTCAAACCACATAACGATATACGTTGTTCCCTTTGTCATCGGTATGTTACTTGCCCGAGATTCGATCGTCGGTATCTGAATACCTAGTTCAATCTCGTTACGTGCAGGTCTCTTTACTTGTTCTGTAATGCACCATTCTGCAACTAACTCATTAGTCACATTGCTTGCAAGGATTTATAGTGATGTGCATTACCGAGAGGGCCTAGAGATACCTCTCTGATACACAGAGTGACAAATCCTAATCTCGATCTCCATCGGAGACACCTGTAGAGCATCTTTATAGTCACACAGTTACGTTGTGACGTTTGATAGCACACTAAGTGTTCCTCCGGTATTCGGGAGTTGCATGATCTCATAGTCATAGTAACATGTATAAGTTATGGAGAAAGCAATAGCAACAAACTAAACGATCATCGTGCTAAGCTAACGAATGGGTCAAGTCAGTCACATCATTCTCCAATGATGTGATCCTGTTAATCAAATGACAACTCATGTCTATGGTCGGGAAACATTACCATCATTGATTCAATGAGCTAGTCAAGTAGAGGCATACTAGTGACACTATGTTTGTCTATGTATTCACACATGTACTAAGTTTCCGGTTAATACAATTCTAGCATGAATAATAAACATTTATCATGATATAAGGAAATATAAATAACAATTATATTATTGCCTCTAGGGCATATTTCCTTCATTATCCTGGTCATTACCGCACATATTTTAACATGTTGTCTTGTTTGCAGGGCCAAAGCGAAAGCCAAGAAGAGAAAGGTTGGCGAGTCATCAACAACTCCTGGAATTGAGACACCAGAAGGCCGTCTTGATGAACAGACTAAGACGCCCCCAAAAAATGAGTCGGTGACTATTGAAGCAATGGACGCCCAAGCTAACCTTCACAACTTGGCGGATGATCTTAACCCGCCAAGTCCGGCTCGTAATTCGAGCCCCCTAAGGCGGCTGAAGACGTTCCTCCTCATGAAAGGAACAATGATGAGATTGCTATTACTGGGGAGGCTTATAAAACTCCAGAAATCTCCAATGTGCTCACCAAGCTCACAGCAAAAGACGAGACGCCCTTGTCTGAGAAGGGAAAAATGAGCTGCCCAATTATGAGGAATTCAATGCTGAAGAGCTGCACACGGGCTACTTGGCCCGCCTTTCTACCAGCCCCGACATGGGAAGCTGGCATGGTGAATATGATGAAGAGGAAATATGAGGTATGTGTTGACCAACTTGATTCACTCTTTGACTTAGCCTTGATCAACCTTGTATGTCTTCTCTATGACCAATCTTTGGATAATTCCTTGAATAACACCTTGGTCGACACATAAACTCCTTAAAACCAACAAATGGACTTCAAGACATTCCTATGGGAAAATCCTACGAATATAACTCAAGGCAACCATTTGTCCATGGAGAATGTCATCAATTACCAAAACCGCACATGGGGGCACCATGCTCTTCCAGGAGGCCCACGCGTATCTCCTGCCACTTGTGTCGGGGGACCGCGGGCTACCATGGTGTCACCGTGCTCATTGAACATGAACTCAATCTTTTGAAAGTGGATGTAGCCGATGAATGGAGGGGGCGTCATGTCCTAGAGCAGCCCCAGATCGTCAACCTCGAGCTCGAAGGAGCCAAAGGTGAATGTTTGGCCTGGCTTGAAGTCACCGAGCATGTATAGCTCTTAGATCTGGGTTCGATCTTCGAGCAATGTAGCTCGTGCCTGATGCGCGGCTGAGAAAGCAGAAAGTGGTCAATACTCTCAGGTGTTGTGGTGAACATGGTCGGAAGTAGGAGAACGGAGCCCGCACGCATAGTTTACCCAGGTTCGGGCCTCCTTTGGGGAGTAACACCCTACGTCCTGCTTGACTTTGTTATTCATGATGAGCATCCCTCGTGTGAAGGATTGCAATGGAGTGTATGAAAGTTGTACCGAGAGTCTAGTCTATGGGAGTAGATGGGATTGAGAGCCCCATACCACTCACTTTGTATACATAGTGAGGTCTATGGTTTTAGAGAGGGTAGATCCCATCTTGCCCGGCACCATGATGATTTGAGGTCCGAGATGGCCTTGTGGGCGTCTGCCTACTTTGGGACTCCCTCCTACCGCGAGCTTCCTGACGGGCCTCTTGGACCCCCTAACAAAGCTTTTGTCGGGCTCCCTTGAGAGAAGACACCCCTCCATTCAAGTTGTTCTGAATAAGATGGAGGAGGAGGAAACATGGCACCGTCACCCCTCACTAGTTAGGTCTTCAGGCTTCGAATCCCGGTTGTAAGCTTGTGGACGGGTTTCCTATGTCCCCTCTTCTATTATTATATGATACACATGCTTCCGCGTATTTAAAAAAATTACGGTGGAAAAGCGCACACACACGAGACAGAGAAAGGGCGAACGATCCCTAAAAAATGGCGAACGCATGCACCGGCACAGGATGGTCGCCCTTGCCACGACACGCTCTATTACCCGGCGCCGGGGCACGCATTTGGCGCTTCCAAACCCGAGCAAATCAAGCGGTCAATGACGACCCACCCACCGCAAGTAACTGCCAATCGCGCGATCGGGGGCGTTGAAACGCGACATCTCTCGCGCAACGTTCCCCTCCCCTCCAGCGGCAATCAAACCGAAACCAAAACCAAATCGAATCCACCCGAAGAAGACGCCCGCTCCCCTCCGAGCGAGCACCAACCCAAGACGCACCGGGACGATCGGCGCCACCTCGGCACGCTGGTGTGGTGCGCGACCGTTGGAGCCGCGCTGCCCTCGCGCCGGCCGCGGCCGGGGGCACCCTGGGGATTCGGGGCCTGGCGGGGCCCGAGAAAGAAAGACACCAGTCCCATGCACACACGCACGCACGCCGCCCCAAGCTCACACCTCCCTCTGCTCTCTGCCGCTCCACCTCACTCCCACCGCATGCCCTCCTCTCGCGCCGGTTACTTTTCAGCTCACTCCCTCGCTCCACTCCCACTCCCTCTCCCTCTCCCTCTCCCAGCGCAAATTTGGAAGGACGCGACCCGACCCGACCGAGGAGTCAAGAGGGGGGAGCGCCGCGCAGTCAGTGGAGGCAACAACGGTTACTGCCTGCCTTCGTCTTCCCAGCCAAGATTTGAGAGGAGGCGCAAGGGGGGGAAGGAGGAGGCGGCTGACTGATCGATCGGCCGGCCGGCCGGGGAGGCGCGCCGGCGATGGGCTGCTGCCAGTCGAGGCTGGAGCGCCAGGAGGCGGTGTCGCGCTGCAAGGCGCGCCGCCGCTACACCAAGCACCTCGTGCAGGCGCGCCGGGACATGGCCGCCGCCCACGCGCTCTACCTCCGCTCCCTGCGGGCCACCGGCGCCGCGCTGCTCCAGTTCGCC